AATGCAAGATTATGGCCTAAAATATGCCAAGGCAAATATACAATAAAAAAAAATTTACAAAACATTTTGTCAAAATTTCTTAGTTTTTGACCAAAAATGACCTAAATAAATTGACATTTTGACAAAAAAATTTGTACAGAAAAATTTCAAAAAACAAAATCCTCACACAAAAAGTTCACATTTTGACAGATATTTTCATACAAATAATTTGATGATGAGAAACATGAGAAACATGCAGGAAAAGACTTTTCATAAATGTTTTAATATATTATTAAGCCTTTTTTTAATTTTGAAATCTCTTTTTTTCACAAAAGTCTTAAACAGTATTAAACAATACATCACCTGTTTGTACATTTTAGGAAACACTGTGACAGAGCAGGGGGGGCACGGCCATCATCAGAGCAGCACTCACCAGGAGAACTTTGGCACAGCCAGTGGTGACAGAATCCCTTCTCCCCTTCCAGACAACCAGGTACCTAATGTGCCACCAGCCAGACGTGACAGAGACTTCAACTGGAAAATGACTGGTGTCACTGAGTGCAGCGCCTCCTGTGGCAAAGGTAGGAAATCATAATTTGTGTCAAATTAATATAGTTCAGGTCCAGAAAAGCTTAGAAAGTTAACTGTTTTTTATAACTAATCACAAAGAATATACAGACACCTGTAGATCATAAGCACAAGTCTTTTTTATATTTTGAACTGACATTATGCCCATGGTAACACTGGTACAAAAATAGTAGACAGTTATATAACATATACACATATATTGTATATTTACTGATATTTTGGTCAGTGGATAATGTGTGCTTGATTTTTTTTTTTTTTTAGGATTTCGATATCCCAACTTTCAGTGTGTCCATCGACTGACCCATGTCCAGGTGTCAGATGCCATGTGTGACAGCAGCAGCAAACCGACTCCACAGGAAGAGGCCTGTAACCTGCAGCCCTGTCCGGCATTGTAAGAGATTTTTAATTTACTCTTATAGTAAATCTGAAAAAATCCATTCATATATACATTATTTTTTAGCCCAATTAAAAAACTTTGGTAAGCCAAACTCGTATGTCAGGCAATTCCTGATTATAAACAAGTTGCAATGACATTTGACTCAAGTTATATACTTGATATATAATATATTATGTAATATTATGATATATTACATAAGTCATAATCACTTTTTTTAAAAGTATTTTTCAATTTTTTTTTAACAATCAGGGAGTAGCATTTAATTAACCACAATTAATTCTGATTAAAAATTAACATTCTTAAATTTGAAAAAAAAAACTTCTATAAATTGCTGAAACAGTCAGACAAATACCAGCAGGTACACTTATGCTTTTATTTGTGACTAATCCTATAGATGGAATTATTAATATGGAAAAATTTCAAGTAGAAATTCAAAAGTATAACTCAAAATTCAGCTTTTAATTTAATATAATTAGTCAGGAAACTCTAATTTGCTTAAGACAAATAATTTGGTGGTAGCAGAAATGAGAGAGAGTTACTTACAGTACAGAAGATCTTGTGTGCGTCTTTCTTCAATTCCTGCAGGCATATTAGGGATACCTTCTTTCTAAACAGGCCCAGGTATCTTCCTGCAGGCATATTAGGGATACCTTCCTTCTAAACAGGCCCAAGTATCACAGAGTAAGTAAATTGTGAGAAGAAGATAATTGTATTTCATTAAGTGTAAATTTTGTAACATTTTTGTTGGGAAAAATAAAATTGTTGGGAAACATTAGATTAGAGCAGAAAGAAACTGTCATTTTTTGTTAACAGTGTTAACATGTGAATAATGTGCATTTGAATTCAATATAATTAACTTCACAATTTTCAAATATTTTGGTTAATATGTTAATTTGAGCAGCACTGTTATTAAACACAACTTTTAATGAATTTTATCTCTAAAAAGACCAAATCTGTTGCATGTTGTCTCCCGGCAGCTGGGATATTGGAGAGTGGTCAGAGTGCAGTAAAACCTGTGGCCTGGGAATGCAGCACCGACAGGTCCTGTGTCGGCAGGTTTACGCTAACCGCACACTCAATGTCCACACGAGCCACTGCCGACACCTGGAGAAGCCAGAAACCGCCAGCACCTGCCAGCTGAAGATCTGCAGCGAGTGGCAGATCCGCACGGAATGGAGCGCCGTGAGTATCAGTTCCAAGTTCAGTTCCATGATGGAGATTTGTACTCCGTCAGCCTTAAAAGTTTTTTTTCCTGACCTTTTGCAGCACAATAGTCATCATTTGACCTGTGTCTCTTTAGTGCTCTGTGCCATGTGGGCTAGGTCAGAGGTCAAGAGAGGTACGCTGTGTCAGCAACGTGGGTGACTTTGTCCCAGATGAGGAGTGCAACATGAGTCTGCGGCCCACGGATGTGGAGAACTGTGACATGGGGGCATGTGCCAAGAGCTGGTTTTACACTGAGTGGGGCAACAGGGTAAGTGTTGAACTCAATAAGAAAAAAAAAACAGGAAGTCTTCATGAGTTGCAGTGAAAAATACATTTTTAATTTTAAAAACAATTTAAAAAAGAATGTTGATAATACAATTGTTCTATGTAAATATCAAAAACACATATGTATAAATCAAACGAAGTACTCGTACCTGTGCGTATTTTCCACGTTACAAGCCTAGAGGCTGAAAAATATAACAAGGTATTTACTTTTGTGTCTCAGTGTTCTGCTGAATGTGGGTTAGGTGTACGGACGAGGGGGGTCCTCTGTTTGACCAATCACATCAGCAGCCTACCTCTGGAGGGGTGTGGCAGCG